GTGATTTTCACTTGGCGAGACGACGTAAGCCGCACATAAGGTGAAGGTATCGATTGCGCAACATCGATATTATGCAACCCGTAGCGGTTTCCTGCTGTTATCTAATTATCCGGAGTAGAGGAACTCAAAGAGAGGAGGTCGCAGCCAATAATGAACCTAATTCGAAACGATCGTTTCGTTTCTCGAGATCGAGAATCTACTATAAGATATTCATTTTCTGTTTGAAAAGTGTTTTGTGAAATGCTCGTGAAACATTTCTTTGCAGGAAATTGTGAACGTTTGCAAATAAGCCGAGACGACGCGGTTTTACGATCGGTTCGGTAATTTTTTTTCTGATGCTAATCACCGATATAAGTATGTGCATACACAGATATACACTCTTTTTTATTTAAATGAAAGATACGTTTAATTCTACGTATGAATTCTATATATAATCATTTCTATATATAATCAATTCTATATATAAATCATTATAATGTATAATATATAACATTATAATATTTAAATATTATAATATTACAGTAATTTAAAATTTGTCTCAAATTTTATATAATAATAAATTATATAATAATATATAATAATTATATTTAATTTATATATATTATATAATTTATTTATTATATAATAATATATAATAATAATTATATTTTATGATATTTATATGGATATAATATAATATAATATTATATTTTTATGATATTTATGTGGATATAATATTATACAATAATACTGTTGATATAGTGTAATATTACACTAAATATTATAAATATCATAAATCATTATAATTTAAATTTGTACGATTATATTCCTGTCTAAACAAAGGTCAATCTAGCGTTGTTCTAATGTTGTTGTCATTTATTGCCAACTAGGAAAGGCAAGTTGAGACAGTAATGAAAAATTAATATCTACAATAAAAATATAAAACAATTAAATTTACAAATTCTTCTTTATTAAGAATAAATAAACTAAATTTTTATTCAATATACAGATGTTCAATTTTATATCGTAATCTTACACATTTTACACATATTTTATAAGAAAAATCAAATCTATTTAATCAAGTAATTATTCGCAACTTACGTGATTCATAAAATGACTCATTCTTTAAGCATTTAAGATTAATCTTTTCTACTTCAAAAGTCAAAAGTAAGTTTAAACAAATTAAGAACATCTGAGTTTTATACGATATCAATTAACATTTCAACAATCAGAGTCGTCGAAATAATGAGTTTCTAACTTTTTAATGAAAATTTCGTAATTTGCAATTGTGTATTTTTAAATATTTTTATGATACTTTATAAAATATACAAATAAAATATCATGAATTCATATCATGAATTTTTATTCTATTCGTTGCAGTTTTATTTCTTTGATGCAAGTTTCATCATTCGGATTACTTTAATCGGTAGTTCAAGAATTAGTTGTCGTACAGGATATTTCCTTGTTCGGGAAGCTATTTTTAAATCTAATAAATAACGCGAGAAGTTGAAATGTTTAGGTTTTACATAAATTAATAGAAAAATAGTCTATCAAACTGAGATCTGTTCATGGCAACAATTGCGAATATACACGTGGCTTCTGTTTGCATAGTTTAATAACAATGAAAGAGGAAAAACGGATGTCAGTGGGTAATAAAAAATTATTTTGCTCCATACGTATATAGATATTTATGTATATATATATATATATATATATATATATATATATATCCGAGTTTTACGCTTCTTGCATGATACGTAACATTGTTGTATTACTATTGCTATATTAATGCTACTACGTTATTATTATTAGATTGTTGCACATGAAACATTCGATTTCATGAACGTGTGTAATTATTCAGAATTCAGTGATCAAAAGTGTCGTTAAATAATATTTATTAGATGTTCTATTTAAAGTTTGAAACTTGCTAAAGATCACACAGTCAGTGTTTTGTTCATTGTTAGTATTGTAAAAGGATAATACGTTAAAACATTATTAAGAAATGATATTATGAAAAGATAGATTACGTGGCAAAACGAAGACGTGAATGAACATCGAATTCGAACATAGTTTTCATAAAACTTGGTACATCTATTTAACGAAGTAAAATGTTGCTCGCAACGATACATTCATTGAAATAAGAGACAACCTGGTATCCAAAATTTAGATTAGGAAATATAAATCAGAAAATTAACTAACGACTAACTGATAATTTTTAACTGTAATAATTATATCATTCGTTTTACAATTTCAGATACATCGAATCTCGCGAGAGGAAATTTGATGAATTATTTTTTTCAAGAAATATGATTGTAATTAATTAAATTGGAAATTTGCCATTCCATCTGCAATAATCCAATATTATCTCGTTTAAATTGTTATATTCATTCCTTTGTTCATTAGTACAGTAAAACCTTGTTTATACGAACCAGTTGATGTCGAGCCTCAGATATACGAACTCATAATTAATAAACTTTTCTTATTCTCTGATAAGAATAATAAAACTACTATTTTATTATTCAAACAAATTAAAATACGATGGAGAAAATTAGCGAGCCTTTGTTATCAGGACGATTCTCAATTATCTGAACGATCTTGTTCTTGTTCAACAAGTTGTTTGGACAAATGAAGTAATTAACAAGCATTGGTTCTACTTATGTCAAAATTAAAGGAACAGAAAGAGAAAATAAAGTTAGAAATTATTAAACTAAATTATTAGCTAAACGTACAGAGAAGAGAGAAACAAAGATTTATAATAGAACGAATATTTAAAATGTTGAAACAAGTTTTAAACAGAACTGGACAGATTGCGAAAAAAGATCACCTCGATTGGAAATTACATTAACCTAATTACATATTCTCAAGCAGGATGCTAAATCTAAGATCACTCATAAAAAATTCAAACATTTTAATGAATTAATATTAATAATTTATATGAATTAATGTTACGATAAGACTGAATGTTCTAAGATTGTAGAAATTGAATTTCACTAGAAATTTATTTTTGTCACCAACTATTACAACGAGTAGCATGCTTCAAATATTTTATATATTTTTATATATTATTGAAATTTTTAAATTTCGCATAAACGCACAAAAATATCCATAGCCTAATCACGAGAAATAATGAACCTACTTGCTATTAGTAGACTCTTATTTATGAAAATAGCGTAACATTATAAAATAACAAAACAATAGAAGGACATCCACAATGCAAATGTTTATGTGTGTGTTATATAATACTTCATCTACAACTTAATATAACATACGTGACCGATCTGTAAAGCTTTTCATAGACAAACAAAGGAATCCGCTGTGGAATTCGAATATTTGCCAACAGTAAAACTATCGATCTCTAATACCAAAATATCCTATGTACATATAAATCACTAATACCAAAATATCCTATGCATATATAGATCACTAAACCACGTATAAAACATAAATATATAAAATAATAAAAAATATATAAAATGAATATTAATTTTGACGAAAATACGTATCAGTGTAGTAGTAAACAATGAATATATATTCCATGATATTCCCCTGTTACAATTAGAGGAAATTAACATTGCAGGAATATTCATCGATCGGAACAATGGAAGTATGGCAAAATTTATGGAAAAATGCCAATCTTCTGGATGGAATTGCACCGGATGTCCAATTATTTATGCAAGATAGCGTACATAGCTGAAACGACATAAGAAAGAATCTCAGCGGTCGATTCGCGAGTTATTTTATTTGGATTAGGTCATCGAGCTTTTCCAGCCAACGATATATATCTCGTTGATATATCGATACACGCCTACATAGCCACGTGCTCGAGACACCTTCAACAGAGAAAACAGTCGATAATTCTTGCCGTGAGGCTGGTGCTACTATCATTTCCTCTCTCTCTCTCTCCTTTGGAATTTGTTCGATTTTTTAAAACAATGGCACCTCGTACAGCGTTTGCCAAGCACCAATCCAGAGAAAGCGAAGGAAATTACGTATTATGTACAGTTACATAAATATTTGTTTCGTTTGTCGTGGGTTCAACAGTAATAAACAGGCTGCGAAAATTAGAGACATAAAGAAATTATAAGCTAAGATAGAGAAAGAAATAAAGAGGAAGAAAGAGAAGAGAAGAGAAATAAAGAGACATAAAGAAATAGAAGCTAAGATAGAAATATAATAAATTTGTATACATATATACATGGTGTCTCAGTATTGAAGGGAATGATTTTATATGAAGAAAAACATAGAGTAAAATTTATTTAGATCATTTTCATGATTACAAGTTTGAAAATTTATCAGGTATACTAAATGCTATACTAAAAATGTGAAGTAAAAATTTTCTCGTTTAAGGCTTCATTTTTCAAGAATACAGAGATTGAATCTGTGAAAGATAAATAATTATATAATAGATTTATTTAATAGGTACTGTACGTCGAAGTATACAACGCTTAACAAGTAATAAAATAATTTTTGTGCAGAACATTAACGTAAAATATTAAAATACATGAACAGTTTTATCTTTTCATATTTTTTGAACGTATATCGTATTTCATTCTTTTTCTTACTTTTTTTTTTTTCATTTGAATAACATCACTCAATTTTTCGAAAAGTAGTTTTCTAAGAACAATATCTGCTATCTCTTTGTATTTTATTCACACTTGAGATATTCTTTAATGCTGAAAAACGAAGCAAGAAATTGAAATACGTATTTTTACCTCGCTTCTTAACATTCTAAAAAAAAAGAAAAAGAAATAAATATTTTCATTTCACTTCTTAATATTCCCAAAACAATGATCTATCATTTGTCATTTTAATGCTATTAAAACAGCTGTTATTAACTGTTATAATACTATAAAATAATAAAATGAAACAAAATTATTACTATTATTATTGTTACAACATAAATACTAATAATATAATATAATAATTATTACACAACACAGTAATTATATAATTATTTACTATATCTCATATAATCAATATAACTATTATATCATTAATATTTATATTAATAAACAGACTATTATTAATCCTCGCTTGAAACGCTTAAACGATTGAAAAGAAATCGTTGCGCTGGTAGAAAGAAAATCCAACGGAGATCGGTGAGGTTGTGAACTGATGAAGAGAAGCAGCGCGTTGGTGATGGTCGTCCAGGAAGTAGGTGCGTCGAACGTAGTTCCTACTTTCGAGGCCGAGACGGTCATAATAGCGATCAGCATTGTCGTGGTTACTGTATCGTCGCATTCACGACAGAGACAACTGAGATAACAGAGATAGCTGAAGGAAGACAGAAAGAGAGCAGAGTTGTTCGTAATCTGTGGGATAGGACGAAGAAGCAGCGAGGCATGTCCGAAGGAAAGGAAGCTCCACGGACCTCAGTTCCGCTCGTTCTCCTCTTCCTCCATCTCGCCGGTTCCCAACCTTTCTGTGGTTTCTTCTTTGGAAATCTAGGTGCCAGTTTTAAACATGGATCGAACACAAAAATATAGATAGATCACATTATTTTCTGTTTCTCTACGTTTAGATCTCTACGTTAATAAAATACAAAACCATTTACATTGAGTGTTTATTTTTCGCCAGTGTCAGTTGAATTTTCTATTCTAAGAAACTTTGAATTGAAGAAAATCAAGTGTAAAATTGTTTATATCTTTTAAATGGTTCTTGAATGGTTCTTCAACTGTAAGTTAATGATTCATTGCTTTTGTTAGTGATTCACTGCGTTTCTCTTTCTCTTTTCTGGATTACAGATTTTCTTTCGGGTAATAGGAACATTATTTGAGGCTGACACTATCTCTCCAATATCAAGATCATTTTCAATATTGCTATCTGCAGTAGTGGAAGAAGATCTTTTACCATGTTTCGACACCCATTTATCTGATTTCATTCCGCTTTTAAGTTTCAATTTTAAGTAAAATGGTATACAAATATATAATTATAATTATAAATATATAATCACAGATTATTGTATGTAATGATCCATTAGTTTTGTATCAATTGTATCAAGTATCTTGTAAGCTCTATTATTTAAGTATATTACAATATAATAATATAACATTATTATAATTACATGACGTTGCTATCAATTGTTGAAGTCATATTAAAATAAATATATAATAAGAATAATTATAATAATTAAATATTTAGGATATAAAATAACTCCAAAGAAATTCCATAATGAATTTTTTTAACAATTTTAGTATATTTTAAACAAATGAAACAGGACAACAAGTTTAAAGAAAGATTAAAAATATAAATTTTTTCCTTAGATTTTACATTAATAATTGCATTACATGTATTTACAACGCAAAATATAATACCCTCAAAGAGATTTCACGATGAATTTTTTGGTATTTAGTGTACTTAGTGTTTTATTTTTAGTCTTTTTTGAAAATCAGAAAGAATAAGCTATTTCTTTTAAAATTTACACCGTGTTCCATAAAATATGACGATTCATACTTAAAAATTCAATGCAAAAGCAAATTTCTACGTTTAATGTACAATATTTGTAATAAATATTTTGTAGCCTATGTATAGATTTTCAGATTGGTTTTAAATTTCATCGATATAATCATAATAGTACTATCTCATCATAATGTTAATAAACTATTACAATATTTATATTTTATATAATACATGTAGTAGATATATAATACATACATATGATACAGTTATTCTATATTATATATATGATTAATAAAATGTTTTGTAATATACAATAATACATATGATACATGTACATAATAGTTATTTGACAAATAATGAAACATCGAAATATTAGTGCAATTCAATTGTAATACAATTATTTTATGTTTCTCGAAAATTTACTGCATGTACACGTACACGTTCAAGTGAATTAATCGATATCGTCAATATTTTCTTCCCACGTATTCTCACGGTAAATAAAACGTCCATTCCACTTGAAACGATGGCATTCTTTGCACAACGTGATAAATCTGTAAAATTTTCGCCCGTTCCGCGTAGAACGTTAATTTGGTATACCGTCGTATTTATATCGATTCTTGCAAGAACGTGTTACGGAGGAACTCGAATTCCTAGTGTCTATCCTCGTGTCTAGAGACGCGTCTATGCGAGGTCGACTCTATTTTCGCTCGGGTATCCGTCAGCTCGACCTCTTCCTCTGATTCCGAGGAAATCCTATGCCCGACTTTCTTCCTCGTTTACCCGTCCGAAATCTCGGCCGATTGCCAACAAACTCCGTAACGAATTTCAAATTTCTGCCTCTTTGTCAAATAAAGCGATCTACTAATCTCAACGTCTGCCTACGATAACTATTATTAATATTCCAGCGCTGTTCATTGTTGAACAGATCTCTCTGTATATACGTGCATTTGTTTAGAACAACTTATGCAATCTGTAACAATCATCCGTTAGTTAGAAATTTTGTTTACTTTATACGACAGTTTCTTATGTAAGAAAGGATAAACGAAATAACGACGAAACTTAACCTCTTGCACTGGAATGACGTGCCACGCACGTCGAGAATATTTGGCCCAATATTTTCTTCAGTTTTAAGTATATTAAAATATAATCTAGGCAAAACAAATAAATTAATAAATTTATTACTTCTCAATAATCCAGTGACGATTCTATCATATCAACGAGTTCAGAAAGAAAGCGACAAATTGTTGTATATACGGTTTGGTCACTCGTTATGGTCCGCAATCAGTTGCCAGCGCAAGAGGTTAAAATCCAAAAATATTATATAGTAAATACAGTGAATAAGTTTTGTTAATTTTACCTATACACATATATATATATACATACATATAATGTTTCTTTTTTTTAAACAAATGTCCAAATAGAAATGAATGCAAAAGCAAAACTTATATTTTTATCGTATTTCTCACCTATTATCTATTAATAGTAACGTACTATTATTAAATAAACTGAAGATACAATACATTGAGCGGCGGAAACGGAACTTGGAAAACGTCGAACAAAAGCATAATAAGATGGAGAGAGAGAAAAAGAGGGGGGGGGGGAGAAAATGTCGCGTAAAGCAAGATACGGGAAAAGCACAAGTTTGAAACGAGTCCCGAGTCAAAAGTACCGGTTGCAACGGTACGGTATTACGTATTATCTATAAGTTGGATTTCTCGGTGTATGCATAGTTTTTCACGTGGCTTGGGAAACACACAGCGAGCCCGTTAGAGGCACGCAAGCAATACACATGCGTTGATTTACGCCGGCGATTTTTGCACGACTCGATACTCTTCGTTAGCTTACTAAAATCATTATTTACGTTTAAATCCGCGGTCACGTATCATAAAAGTGTCGATGGCGCGTGTATATACATATATATACATCTACGTCCAATTCCACAGGAGAAGCATAGACGTATTATGGAATTGTTGAATGTATCGAGTATGAACATGCAATATTTATAATTAAATTACGGATTTTTATGCATTTATGAAAGACTAGAGTGCACACAATTCATACGCAGAAATATTTAAAATATCTAAAGTCGAGTATTTATTGTAAAATGTAATTAATAATATACAATGTATCTCTTATACATTTATTACTTATTACTGTTATATACTTATTATAACATCTAATGTATAGATAAAATAAATTTTTATTCAGGCTCTTTAATTAATTATGTTCATAAAAATTAAAAATCCGCAGTCTACTTATAATATTAGGTTGTAACAACTGATTCTGCTGTATCATTATTTTGAGCCTAAGTTTTCTGAATAAATATTAAAACCTTAGTAATTTCGAAAATAGACTATCTTTTGTCAGACTCCTTATTTATTTTGTCATACGTTTTGTTAACGTTGCTCTTATAATCATCTGGCTTTTATTTTATTTCTCTCGGTCAAAGAACGTCTACGAATTAAGAAACTATTTAACAAGTCTTTGAAGAATTTACACACCAGTTTAAATTTTTATTTTTGTTTTTAAAATAGAATGATAGAACGATAGAATATAGATTAGATAGAATAGAATATAGATAGAAAATATTGGAAGTATTGGAAATATGAGAAAAGCTTTGTTTAATATATGAAAGTTATTCAATATAGAGAAGATCATAATATAATAGTAACGAGTTTTTTGTAGGTAGAGAAATTTCAAAGATTTCTATTTCAAAGCCACGTTCACTTTTTTAAATAGAATCATATATTTTTTGAGTCATTAATAGATGCACCCGATATTCTATAAAAAAATGTGCTAACCTATGTCGAAAGATTATTAATTTAGGAGACATTTTAATTTCAACTTTTCAAAATTTATTGTATGAAAGATAAAGTTGTCCTTGTTTTTATCATACAATTCATAAAATTCACAAAATTCAATTTCAAAATGCAATTTCATAAAATTCAAGTTAAAATATCTCTTAAATTAATAACTTTTTGACATACATAGTATTTTATACATATTGTTTTACAGAGAATATTTATCTGTATTAATGCATAAAAAAATATATAATTTCACATAAAGAAAAATTCGTTTATTGAATATATTCGTTTATTGAAGTAACATATAAAGTCTAACATATTTTTATTAGACATGTGGTTTTCAATATTTTCGTAGAATTTTTTAGTCTTATTCTGACATCTTTTAACCGATTAAGGACCAAATAGTAATTTATCAATTTTTTTATATTTCATAAAATTTTGGTACTTTCTTTCATAGTTACAATGTGACAAAATATTTTTATAATGTAACGTAAAAAATAATATAAAAAAATATAAAAATATTTTTATGACATATGTATTGACAATTGATTGCAAATAAAATGTGCTAAAGGATCGTTGGTCCTTAATAAGTTAAACAAACTTTTGTAGGTTATATATATACTTTGGCGCCAGTACACTCTGAATTGCATCAATATAAATAATACATGTGTATATTTTACTAAACATATGAAAACTTACATTAGGATGTAAGGATTAGAATGTCGTCTGATTAAGGATTAAATGGTACACTCTGTTGCATTTGCGCTGCAATAAGAAAACAAAAGAACATTACTAATACACAACTTTAAACGATAATATGTATCACGACATGCTACGCATTGTTTTCCTTACAATTATAAAACTATTCGACTATAGCAGTTAAAAATCCTGATGTAGGAAACAAACTGGTACACGACAGACCCATATATGCATTAACGGATAATGATGGTTCCATGGTTGTCCATTTGGGCGGTTGTGCGATGTAGGAGTCGAAAGGCTAAGGCGCATACGTAATGCGTATCTAGAAGCGTGGGAGCCATGCTCGAACGGCTTCCTCTCACGGCACTGCCACGCTTTATCTTGCGTTTATAAATAAGCCAATATCTCGCTCCCTCTCTCTCTCTCTCTCTCTCTCTATCTTCCTCGCTCCCTCGCTCTTTCTACCTGTGTCCCTCTTTCTTTTTGTCTGGTCATCTTTCTCTCTCTCTCTCTCTCACACACACACCATATACACTCTTTTTCTGTCTTCTTCTCGCTACCTCTTTGTCTACCTCCCGCTCGATCTCTATTTCTCTCTTTCTCGGCTCGAATAACTCGAACGAGCGACTCAACTAGAAGGAGGTGCGCTCTTCAGTTCCGGCTTCCAGCCACCCGAGTCTATTAATACTCGATTCTAGTCTCTAGTTTGCTTCCACCTCCTCCTCCTCACCCCCTCTCTGTTACCTTCTCTGCCACCACCACCTAGCAGAGTCTCGCCGCTCTATCGGAACTCTTTGTCTCAACCTGTTCGCTCATATTGTTAACGTATCAGTTCCAAGCTGTTATCTGGGCAACCAAAATCTCGTGAAAATAAATTCCTCATTTCTTCTTTACTGGGATTGCTAATTTTAGGTAAATCATTGATTTTTATCGGATACTCTTTTGGAAACTTGTTGGTTAAAGAATTGTGTTATTACGGATCGGGGGTTTTGAGTTCGGAGATATGTTGTATATTTATTTGGTTATGTTCGAAACAATCGATCATTTGTAATCTGAACGGAAAAAAATTAAAGGTGAATTTAATTCGATCGTTCATTTATATTTCTTTAGATTAAAAATTTCTTAAGATTGAAAAGTATCAAGAGTTCAAACGAAACACGAAGTTTTTATTAGTATATTTGCTAAATTGACTGTAATTTGGGAATCTCCAATCTTATTTCAATCTTTCGATAGTCTGATAATTTGATAATGATAATAAATTTAATTATTAAAAATTTACGGAGGATAATGTATTACAATTCATCAAATAAATATATCAACATTGTATATTATATTTCAATATATTGAAATATAAATATATCTGTATCTAGAGGTATGTGATTAAAAATGAATGCATTCTTAAGTTTTGTTAGATGCTTTTCATCTGATATTAAACTTTTATACTTTTATTAATGAAAATAAAAAATAAAAATTCAAAAGAGAAGCATACAATGAATTAATAGGTGTGTATGTGCATATGTACTTTTTAAATATTATAAGTATACTTAAAAAGTAACTATATTATATTTATTTTTCGACAACATTTTATTTATGCAATTCTCTTTATTATAATATATATATATATATATATATATATATATATAACATATAAATACATATAATATATAATATAGAAAATTGCATAAATGAAATGTTGAAAAATCAAAATAATATTTTTTCAATTAATATCTATATTAGAATAATCGACATTAGTTATTAAAATTATTAAAACAATTATTATTTAACACTAGAACTATCGATGACTAAAGTATAAAATTTGTAGTAAAGAAATCAAAGTACAAGAAACAGGAAAAAAATGTATAATACAATAAAGAATACAAGCTTCCATTTATATATTTTACTGAAAACCTAAGTTCAAGTGTAAATATAGTAAAAAATATAGCACATTATTTATTAACAATATTATAAATGTACTATTATGTTTATATTTTCTATTATATACTATATTATAAATATGTAAAATTTCTATGGAAAATTATAAATCAATCTACTTAGTATTAAGTATTACATGTCCAATTAAGAATAGTTTATTATAATGCTATAATATAAATACTTAAATTCATTGGTTTAATTAAGTCCTTTACTACTAAATTCATTCGTCACAAGGAGGTGACGTAGATTATGTTATTTTGAAATAAATTTAAAAAAACAATGTCTGTAATATCATCACTTTCTTGTACCTCACCTCAGTTTACCAATGTTTCTTTTGAACGACTCATTTGTCTCTGAAACATCTATCCCGCATAACATTACTAAATAAACGAAGATAATAGGAAAGGGAAATGTCGACATACTATTAACAAATAGGGAAAAGCTTGCGAAGAATATTAGACACTGTTTAAACAACTAATGGACGACGAAAGAAGATTTCTCCGACACTTTCAGATTGTCTACATGTGATTTCAGTGTTCTTTTCAGGAAAATCCTGGGTCATTTTGCATAATTGAGTTAATAAAAAGAGAAAAATGAACGTCCTTGTCAAGAAGAAAAAAAAAACCACCATTACATGAAATAGAAATTCTTTTGAAACGATATTTATCGAATCAATAATTTTTTACATTTTCAACAATATCCATTGTTACAAATGCAAAGCAAGGAGAGTCTCTTTTAAATTAAATTGTTAAAAATAAAAAATTAATAACAACTATGAACTTTTGAACATTTTAATCATTCCATCAGCTGAGAATAACATAACTATGCAGACCGTTATTATATGATGTGTGAAGCGAAAACACGTTCAATTAGAACCTAATGTGTTTGTTAGGTCACCAACCGTTAGCGCGAGACAAAAACTGTATCGCCCTGACAATAAAAGCAAAAAGTGTATCGCTCAACGTCAGAATCCGGCGAGCAGTTAGCGACCGACCTTTAAGGAATATATTTGAAACTACATTTTGAAAACAACGGTTATCTTTGATCAAATTTTAGACTCCACGTTTCTTAAGAGTCCTCTCACAGATGAAACAATAAAACAATTTGCATACATCGTGATGCAATAAGATTCGAATATAAATATTAAAATCTTATTATAAGAATAAGTATTGAATTATAAGAGTATAAATATTGAAGCAATACTTGTATTCTTAGTGACTAAGTACATACTTTTTAAATGTAATCGTTATATCATATTAAATGAAATTTTCAATTTAAATTACAATCACATTAAAAAAATGTAAAATTTTATAATAAAGATTAGATTCATAAGATTAACCTTTTGAATGTTCATTACGTATAAGTTCATTTATTTATTATTTTAAATATCTCGGATTATCTGTACGATATGAACTAAACAGAGAAAATTAATTTTACTAAACTCTTATTGCGAAATTTAATATAATTTAATATAAAATGATAATTAATATAATTTCTATAATATTTCTACAATTTAATATAATTTAATATAAAATAATAAATAATATAATTTCCATAATATTTGATATAATATTTCTATAATTTAATATAATTTAATATAAAATAATAATATAATTTCCATAATATTTGATATAATATTTCTATAATTTAATATAATTTAATATAAAATAATAATATAATTTCCATAATATTTGATATAATATTTCTATAATTTAATATAATTTAATATAAAATAATAATATAATTTCCATAATATTTGATATAATATTTCTATAATTTAATATAATTTAATATAAAGCAATAATTGAAATAATACAATACAAATAAGAGAAATTAATTCATTACAATAATATTTCTTCAAACGGAACCGGAATATAAATCAACTGCAACAATAATTTTCTAATCGCGTCGAATTATCGCATGTTTATTCAAAATTGCGCTCTTCACCATGAAACAATTTACAAACGAGTAAAATAATTTGTTTGCTAGAAATAATTATCGAACCGATGTATCTTAAGAGATATGATTAATCGGTCGATCAGTGTGAGTCAGTGTGATTGATTGTTCGATAGAAACGTATTTCCTGATACAAAGATAATCCCAGTGTGTCAAACGTTTACAAAAATAAATTGTTTCAACGAAAGATTCGCTTCTTTCGATTATTCATGACAGAATCATTTGACAATAGATTTATTTCAAACGTAATAGTAGTAATAGTAATAGTTGACTATTAATTGTATTCGCTATTGTATTAATAAATATCGCTATTGTATAAATAACTAATTTTAAGACATTTCATGTAAATACATAATACGCAACGTATTCGTGAAAAATTACTATGAATATTCAAATATCTATTTTACGATTGAATATTGATGTACAAGTACTTTTAGAAGTACTTAAATAAAATCGAGACTACGTGAAGGATGTTCGAACCTAACTATAAGTATAATACGTCAAAAATTAGTAGTCGTATTGTATAAATACGTTTCAGTATACCAATTGTAAACGAGAGATACGGAATTATTAAATGGCAACATAGTATAACATTTTAATCCCTCTCTTATCTACAGGAAATTATTTACTCTTTGCGATTCGTTTTCGATAAAAGAAACAATTAATTCACAGTTAATATAGTATACTCCTGCGAAAATAAATTTCTCTTCGCAGCGCCAGAAACATAAAATTAGCAGATAGCATTAATTTAACATCAGACTTACCAAATATGATCAGAATGAATAATTTATAATTCTTCGAATAATTCTGCCGATTCACAGCGTCGCGCGCTGTTATTGATTGATTCGAATAATTTTTGTAAAATATATGAATAAAAATTTATGTACTTTATTGCGTCCTAATTTCTCTGCAATCTGCAATTTTCACACTTCAGTCGCCGGTTTTAGTTCTGGTGTTAAAATTAGACGGGACCCCTCAGATGGTTCACTCGAGGGTTAATAAGAGGAATTGATGTTAAGAGCTTCAAACTAGATGATATCTGGAAAATGAAAGCACATGACGTGGGCCCCAACGAGGAGGAATGCGTTTTTGTCGCGCGTCGAAGGTGGGCAAGTGCGTGATGTTCGCACGATTATCGGCAGGAGGCGGAATCCGTGTCGACGCAAAGCAGAATCCGCGTGGCCGAGGAATGCACTCAATTATGCAGGACACTCGAATCACGAGACGAAGATATTCTAGTCGCGTGTCCGCAACCAAATCGGTTTCGATCGATTGCGGCTATTGCGAGAATTATCACTCTCTCCCTCCGCTTCTTCGACCGCTAAAACTCACCGGCGAACAGTCCGGCTTGCAAATCAATTCGATTAATTTCTCGCGACCGAAACGTCGAAATTTTTACTGCCCTCGTTTCTTAAAATATCGATACTGTTTTAAGTAAGTGTAATTAAAGTATGTAAAACTGTTATATTATATTATAATAAGTATATTTAAATAATCTGTATTTTAGTATATTTTAGTATTTTAGTACTTTTAAATAATTTGTACTTTAGCATTTTACTATAGTTTAGTATTTTAGTATTTTTAAATAATTTGTATTTTAGTATATTTTAGTATATTTTAGTATTTTTAAATAATTTGTATTATAGTATATTTTAGTATTTTAGTATTTTTAAATAATTTGTATTTTAGTATATTTAAATAATTTATATTTTAGTATATTTTAATATATTTTAGTATTTTAACATATTTTAGTATTTTA